AAACCCACAGGGTTTAGACCCTAAACCCCTAAACCCACAGGGTTTAGGGTTTAGGGTTTAGGGTTCAGTGGGTTTCAGGGTTCAGAGAAAGGCGTCGCCACGGGTAACATCCCACCCGCCCAAGGTTCCCTATACACTGCAGATATACACAATTTTAAATCACGTGGTCAACCCTTCTCCTCTTCTAGAGGCTCCCTGGTGCCTCGCAGGCTGTCCAATTGGTCCTTTCCGGTCTCCCTGGTGCCTCCCAGGCTGTCCAAATGGTTCTTTCCTACCTCCCTCGTACCTCCCTGGTGCCTCCCTGGTGCCTCGCTGGCTGTCCGATGGATCCTTTCCTGCCTCCCTGGTGCCTCGCAAGCTGTCCAATTAGTCCTTTCCTGCCTCCCTGGTGCCTCTCAGGCTGTCCAAGTGGTCCTTTTCTGCCTCCCTGGTGCTTCCCTGTCAAAGGCAATCCGGCGCTCCGAGCGGCCTTTAGAGGCCAGCCTGTGCTACGGGCAGCCAACCGTGGAGCCGGACCTCCACCGCCAAACGATTGATGTGAGCAGCCCCCCAACGGGTACATGTGATCACCGTCGTGCTGTTGTCGGTCTTCTGGAACAAGTCCTGGATGTCCAAATTCGTCGGCGTGTGGTGGCCTGTCCAGGCCTTGTGATTCCGGCACAAGTCTCGGACGAAGGCCGTCCCTTCTGCGCCCATCGGCCGATTCTTGCGGAGATACCCCAGCTTGCTCAGGAGCGGGTCCTCATCGGACTGGCGCCAGACTTTGTGGAGCTGGATCTTATAGACAAACCGCCACTGCGGATGATGCACCAAGCTGCGCTTGGTGTGGTCCGGCGGCGGCAGCTGCCACTCATCCCCAGCAAAGACCAAGCATGGCAACTTACCAGCACCCAGCCACATTTGATGCAGGCGGTCGAAGTGCTCCTCGAAGAGCTGGGGCGCTTCATCGACGACGATGAGGTCATAGCACAGCATCACGCCCATCGCTTCCACCAGAGGTTTGTGAAACATGAAGGCGCCGTGGCAAGTGTCCAAGTCTGCCTCCGGGTGCCGCTGCTTCATGCGGGCCCGTTGCACCCCAGTGGGCATCGCCAGTAGCACTCTGGCGCCAAGCCTCTGTGCTCTGCGAATGCATTGGTCCAAGGCGGCCGTCTTGCCCGTGCCAGGGGGGCCCAGCACGGCCACCATAGAGCCATGCTCGTCTGCCAGATGCAGCAGCCGATCCGCTTCTTCCTCAGAGGCGGCGTAGCGCACGGCCAACGCTTGGTCCACCCGCTTGTTGACGTTGTCGGCCACCCGCAGCTGATCTCCGGCCAGAGGGAACTCGCCGTCTTCATCCAAGTAGGCTTGCCGGATGTACAACGGGGCTTGCGCGCGGGCTTCCCGCTCCATGGTGCCGTCCAAGTGCTGCTGGATGAAGAAGTCGTTGGCCCGGATCATTTGAACGATGGTCTGAACGTGGGCCTCTTTGTGGGCGCTGAGCGCCATGCGCTTGCGAATCCACGCTTCGTTGCGCCACTTCTCGGGCGCCCAATGCAAGGCGCAGGCTAAAAACTTGACGTGGTCGGGCGCCAGCTCCAACACGTTGGCGACCAGCAAGTCGTCCAGCTTGCGGAAGGGGACGTGGAGAGCCAACCATTGTCCAAAATACCTGGCTGCAGCAGCGTTTTGGGCAACATGGTCTTAACCGAAGGGAACGGAACCCACACGATACCTCGTCTATATTAGAGAAGTTTGGCCCAGGCGCTTATCATTGAGCATAGAAACCATTTCGGCCGCGATGATCTTCTCACCAAACGGCTGGAAGTGCCGGGCGAAGGTGTCCAAGTCTCGACCCCGAGGGTCCTTCAATTGCGCTTTCTTGATGTGCTCCAACACCTCTCCCTTGTTGTTCGTCTTGCGCAGGAATTCCAGCAGGCACATGCCGTCGCCACGCCAGGAAGACTGCTCATAGCGCTCCACGTACGCGGGCTTCTTGGCCATGCCGGGGTGCGGGGCGATGATGGGCTCCATGGTGCCGCCCATGAAGAACATGGGGAAATTCTGCGATGCAAGCTGCATCCACATCTCCGGCTCTCCTGGATGCGACGTAAAGAGCGCCCGCCTCGCAGCGCCGTAGCCACTGCTCTGGTCGTCCATCAGCTCCTTGCCCGGCCCATCACTAAACTTGGCCAAGTAACTGGTGGAGTAGCGGATCATGTGGCCAGAGCCACGCTCCAGTTGCGCATCTTGATGGCACTTCAGCACATCCAAGACTTCGGGGCAATAGGCCCGGATCCCCAACTTCTTGTCTTCCTTGGTGTGATGGAGCTTGACTTTCTCTGCATGCGCGTCATAGAAGCTTGGGCCCTCCATAACCGGCCAGCCGCTCCCACCTCGACCAGGCTGCCCATCCAACACCATGCCTCGCAAGGGATGCCCTTCGTCGGGTACTGTGGCTTGAAATTTCTGCTCCAAGTTCATGCCCTGCAGTGTCTCCGCGAAGATCAGGCCATGGAGGTGGACGGCGCCACGCCCGTGGTAATCTTGCGTGGCCTCTTTTCTTTTCCCGTCCTGGAACTCCAGGCGCCCAACAAAGTTCACCTTGATCTTGCTCCCGTCGGGCTTGGTGCCTGCAAAGACGCCGTTGCGCCAGGCCGCCGTGGCATCCCCGGCTTTGCGCCCCCCGCCGCAGACCCACTCGCGGAACAACTCCGTCAAGAGGTGGGCCAGGCGCAGCGCCTCGGGCCCGGCCAGTTGGAGCCTCTGCCGGCAGGCTGCGCCATTTGCTGTAGGATCCATGCATGGTAGGGCGCTGACCATTCAAATGGCGCCCAAGTCAAGAACGCCACCGGATAGCCACATTGAGCCTGCATATCCAGGGCCGCGGCATGTCGTAGCTTCCAGAACTGGGGCGTCCATGGCGCGCCCTTCATGGCTTGCCACATCGGCATTCCCCGAAGCGCGCCCTTCTTGCCGCCCACGTCGGACCACACCGACAGGTCGTAGACAAAGTGCAGGAGCTCGTACTCGCCGGCGTAGTCCACAATGGGCCCCCAGACCTTGGCGAGGAAATTGCGCTTGGCGCTCTGCCTGGTCGCCTCCTCGGCGTCGATGGGGGCATCGTTGGCTGGCACGCCTTGGCCGCGCCGTTGCCTGCGGACATCCGAGAGGCGGGCGACCGTCTCACAGAGCTCGTAATGCCAGTAGAGATGAGGCCAGAGAGCCGTCTCGATGCCGGGTTCCTCCAAGAACTGCAGCGGCCGCTTCCGGCGCGCGGAGTCGGCATCCGGGTATTTCTGCCAGAAGGAACGGTGCCGTTGCACTCACTCCGCATAGTTGCAATCGTCGCTCTTCAGGAGAAACTTGAAGGCCTGCTACACGCAAACTATGCATATGAGAAAGGTGGGGAAAGCGTGAAGGTTAGACACTCGCGCGTCGCCGGCGACGAGTTCCCGCCTTCTTCGCTTGCTTTCGGAGACTGTGGGTTGGGAGCGCTTTGACCTTGTCCTCGACATCCTCTTCCGCCCAGGCAAACCGGATCATGCTGCTGTGGAGGTAATAGCCAAAGTCTGCTTTCCATTCAGGACCACAGTCCACGTCGAGAGGCCGCAGCGCTTGGATCTGAGCGCGGGACAAGCCCCGCAAAGCTTTGGGCACTTCTTCAGGCTGGGGCACCCAAATCCTTTTCTCGGCTGGCTTGACACAGTTCTTGCACCGCCCCACCTGGCCGGTCGATGCCCGCAGGGCGGCCGGCTCCTTCAAGTGCACCGTCTCCACCGAGTAACATTCCTTGCAGATCTGCCACGAGCCTCGCTTGCACCAGGTCTCCACGTTCCTGGCCACGACAGAGGCTGCCGCTACGGGTAGGCCGGCATCGTTCGGAGCAATGTCTTGGATGTTGGCCCTCACTTCTTCAGTCATTGGATGCTTCCATTGATGACCTGCATGGCGAACGGTGCGCTGCCTCTCTGGAAAAAACTTCTTCAGCACGAGCGCCCGGTCTTGTCGCACTTTTTCCTGGTACCCTTGCAGCTCTTCAGGAGACGGTGGGGCCGCCACGGACGCCCTCTTGGCCAAGAGATCCTGGGCGGTGCGCTCCGTGGAATCCTTACGAAGCTGCTCTCGATCTGCCTCCGGCAAGTCCACTATGGAGCTCTCTGCAAAGGCTGCCTCCAAGATCACCGGGGCGTGGCGGGCCCAGGCACGCAGCAGGCGCACCACGTTGCGACGGCCCGCGGCAGTCTCCAGGGCGCGACGCAGGTTCGCAAGACTGCAAAAGCTGCATCGCCCTTCTCGATTCCCTGCAGCAGGTTGTCCCGTGCCGCGGGCCGCAAACCGACACGGCACACCCTCGCGCCCACAGCACACGTCAGTGTACGCTCTTGCAGGCCGTCGCAGCACGCGCGCGGGCGCAGGCGCGTCGGCAGGCGCAGCGGCCAGCGCAGGCACGCTCGGGGACGGCGGCCGCTTGCCGGTGATGCGACGGCGCTTGGGCAGCGGCTCCGCCATGACGGCCGAGGCGTCGGGCGAGACCCCTGCAGTTAGATGGCTGCGGCAGAATACACCTGTGTGAACGCAATGCGCTGTCGCTCCGAAAGAAAGACCTGGCAAAAGGCCGAGCCCGCGAGAAGACCCGACAGAGACCACAGGAAACTCCCACCAAGTCTCCGAGACAGACCTGGCGGCGGCGGCCCCCTGGACACGCGCAGCGCGCGCGACCTTGTTTTCCCGTTGCGAGCGGAGAGGCGGAGTCAGTGCATCGACGTTGCAGATGGTGAATAAAGGTGGCTAAGTCCTACCTGCAATGGATCTAAAAGCTATATAGCCTGCCTACAACACGTAAGCCTTCGCTCTCTCCACAGGTCGTGGCGGAGGCGTAACCGCTCACTTCTTCCACGCGACCTCCGCGGCGGCGACCATGTCTTTGAAAGCTTTCAGCAGTGTCTTGAGGTTCTCGGTTTTTGGATACCGCGTCTTCGTCATGAAAGCGCCCACCGTCTGTTGCAGGCCCTGATGTTTCAAGATGGCCTCGGGGATTTCTTGCAGGGCTGCCTGGACCTGCTGAATGTTCGGGCGGTCCTTGCCGCCCAACTTGTTTTCCAGCTCGTTGAGGAGCTCCTTCAGCGCCTCGATCTTGTCCAGCGGCCACTCGCTGACATCCAAGCCGGCCGGGGGCGGCGCCTCGTCCTCGGAGGAAGCCAAGTCAATGTCCTTTGTGGCGCCCAAGCCGTCCTCGTCGTCCGAGGCCAGTGCATCCACTAGCGGCTTCCCGCCCTTGCCTTTGCGGCTCTTGCGAGGCCTCTCTTCCACAGCCCCGTCGTCCCAGGGCGCGCGGCTGTCGC